AAACCTGTTTGGTTCAGCCGCTGAAAGTAGCACCAGATCCTACCACTGGAGACCAGAACCGAGCTGGAGGAAGCTGAACTCCATCAGAACTAGAAGTACAGCACCTTGAGGTCTAGTTCTGGGGAGATCCTGCAGCACTGCAGGATGGCACAGTGAATCTGGGCACTTTCTGACAGACTGGATCCATCCAGCGCAAGCTGGAACTGACTGTGGGAAATCTGGAGTCTTTGTTGTGCTGGACAATTGCAATGGGGACTTGTGACCCTGCACAGCATCTCCTGGAAATCAGGGATATAGGAATTACCCTAATGCAGCCCATCCATGGCACTGGTGCTTGCTTTCTGGAGGAGGCAGCTCAGGAGTAACTCTCCAACAGAGAACACCAAAATCGTGGTGTTCTTGCATGGGTCAGTGAGAGAGCAGAGCTCTTCAACCTAGCTGTTGTTTTCATCTTAAAAACAAGTACTGTATATAATAGGGAAGGAATTTGTTTGTCCTCATAATAATTTTATGAGAGGCTCTGTTATTACATAGTCATGTCATTAGCCATGGATGGAAGCCCAAAGCAAAGCCTAATCCCAAACTCAGCAGTGGACAGAAGACTTGCTGCTGAGCCCAGACTCACCCAGGTGGGAAAGGAGATCTCAGTGCAGGTCGGATTTCCACTGGAGCACATACCCAGAGGTTTCCAGGAGCCGCAGGCTTGAGATACAGGTGCTCTCCAAACCTGTGGCTGAGCAAGCTGCCGGTTAGGGAAAGCCACAGAGCACGGCAGCTGATCTCCCAGGCCTTAGTCTCCTCAAGTGCAAAGCCTGGGGATTACAGGTTGGCTGACCTGCATGGAAAAGATGGTGCAGAGAGTTTCTGGAGCTGCTGCAGTATGGGCAAGCTGGGAAGCACTCTGCAACTGCTGAGTCAGCAGTTACGACCCAATAAGGGTCAATTTTTTTTTGTCCTTGAGGAAGAAAAACAATTTCAGAGCAATTTGCTACTGAAAAATGGAGCATAAAGTGACGAACGTACCAAGGCCCCACATGGCAGAAACACTGGTCCATTTCCATCTCGGGAGGGGAGTGGCTGAGGGCTTCATTGTCCCGTACCAAATGCCTTCCTTTAAGCCCATCTGGTGTTTGGCTGCCAGGAAGCAGCATGCCAGAGGGAATGTCTGAGAACTGCAACTGCTCTTTCTGCCCCGCAGCAAAAGTGAATTGTCTGCACCGTGCCAGGGCATCAGCTGCAAAGCCCCTTCTCCTTTCCTGTAACCAAGGCACCGTGCCTCCACCTCCTTACACCTCCAGCTTGCTCCTCAGTGATTCATCCTTCCTGGGGACCACAGCAAGCAGAAAGCTGGAGCCACAGTGAGGTGGTGGATGACCTACCTGCTATCTGGGTCTGCACTGGTAGAGAGGAGCTAATGAGAGTCCTGTTTATCTTGCTGGGCTCACAGCTGCAGTCACCTGGCAAGTGAGCAAAAAACTCATCTGTTGGGAGCTGACTGCTTCTGTGGGCTGCAGTGATGGGACCTGTATGAAATTCTCCTGGAGAGCTGTTTTCTATGACTCTTCTACGGGGGAAGAGGATGGGTTACTGACTTACAGCAATGGTGCTTCAACATGCCTTGCAGGAAGCCAAGTGGAGAACATGGATGCCCTGTGGGCGATGAGAGGCTGGATTGGGCTGCCCCAACACGCAGGAAAAATTATCTCCACGTCCTTGGGTGGTTGGTATCACTCCTGCTGCTCTTGCAGGAGAGAATCAGGCACTTCTGGTGTATATTTTTTCCTATATTCCTCTACTTGAAAAACATCTCATATTCCTTCAGTAACTCTCTGGGGTCCCAGTTATAGATACCAGAAGACCTGATCCTGCTCCCATGCACAAGAGAACAAGCCTTCCTATTGATGGGAAGCCAAGCTCACTGTAAGCCCACCTATCGGTGACTTCAAACCATCTTTCCAACTGTCATTCCACAATAACTTTGACTAACTGCACTATTTATTGGCTCACAACACATCCTTATGGCTTCAATTTATTTTTGGAAAACTCAACCCACATTTAATTAGTTTATAGTTTGTTCCAAGTTTTGCTTATCCAGTTTGGGGAGTTTTTTTGGCCTTTTTTTTTTTTTTTTAAGTTTGAAGTTTGTATTTTGATGTTTAGCATTTGCCTTGGCAACATCTGGAACCCCTTTATGGAAGTGTATTGTTACTTTTACTGCTTGTGCAGCTTTATTAAATCAACTGAGTATTAATATTGAAAGTGTTCATCTGGGTCTAATCAGGGCCAAGATGAGTGATGTGGCAGTTAAATTGTACCTACGAGCTAATGGTTCAAGGACACAAAGTCCTGAAGAAACTTTCAGTGGGCTTTGTGCTCTTTTTAGCTTCCTAGGAGGAGGAAGGGGGAGGAAGAAAGAGATATTCCTGCCCTGACCTTTCTTGCAGAGCAGATAACAGAATTGCAGCCTGAGCTAGTTTAGAACAATTTGTCTACAAAGAATTTTGTTCAGTTACCACTATATTTCTGGATCTTGTTTCCATATTTAACTCTTTCATCTGCCCTGGCTTCTCTGCTCTGCAGTGCAAACAACTACCAAGCCAAGCTCCCCACCATGTGCCCTATACAATACTGATGGGGCTGATATTTTGCTCAGAGACTTCAAGCAGACCCTCGATACAAATAAGTAAACAACATACCCATTGGGTATAAACACATAAATAACAAACCCCATCACTCTTCTGCATCAGCAACATTTACAACCCAGATTTGTCCCTTTGCTTCTCTCTCCTCCTCTGGGTCCCAGGCATCCCCCGGGTGATGCTGCTGAGCCCACAGTTGCACACAAGCCTGCTGTGAGCACAGCACAAGCCAGGGCAGGGTGGGTTGAGCTGGGGGGTGAAATACAGGATCAACACCACCAGAGCACAACCCTAGGTGTGGGGATGAGTTCTGGGGGGAGAAGCCAACTGACCTTCAATTCTCTGTTTCCATGTTACAGCACTGATGGACTTTGTAGAGTCGCTGTAGATCAAGATCCCCACACAAATGCTCGACTTCATTTCTGATCCACATTCAAAGCTCTCATCCTTGAGAGGACTTTTTCCTGGGATCCTGTGAGTCCTGCCCCAGCAGAGCGAGGCAGGGAGGTGAGGGTGGCTCACACTGGCTGCAGGTGCTTCTAATCCCAGCTGGAGTGATTATTTCAGTAGCTAACCCTTGGACAGAGGCAGAGTCTTGGGACCATTGAGGTGACCCACATGATCCTGCTTTAGCAGGGCCAGGGCAGCCCCATGGATGGGGGGATGCCAAGTGATAGGTTGTGGGAAGCATCCTCACTCTCTCCACTTCTGGCATCCCCGGTGAGCCATATTTTAAGCCTCATGTCACTCATTTAAACCCAAAATTTCTTCCTTCCAGCTTTCAGGTACAGCAGACTTTTCTTCTGCAGCCAGGGTTCCCCTCTGCCATTAACCCTGGCCCTACATATAAGGACACAGGATGGTTTATTTATAAAGGGTTTATTTCTGTGTGGGAGCCTTCCAGCAGCTCTTTCATGGCTGTCTCATGGAGGGGGGTCTGGGCACATGAGGGAAGTGGAGCAGGCACAGGAGATGCTGTCAGACCCAGCTGTGCACCCTGGATTTGGGAAGCAGGGAAGTTATAATTCCCTTTTTTTGTTCTGGGAACAGTATGTGCATTAAAAAGGAAAGGGCACATAGGATCATCTGTTGGCCATGGGCAGGTCACAGATGTGACCACCAAAAAGGCAGGACATCCTAAAGACTGTCCATAGACCCAGGGTGCCCAGGGGTGAGCTGCCATATCTGCAGGGACTTGCTTGCAGGGGCTGAGTCCCCATGTCACAGTCAGGGATTTTGCAAATTGTTTCTTGTTCAAACTGTCACAGTCAGGGGTTTTGCAGTTTGTTTCTTGTTCAAACTAACAGCTGGTGATGGAAAAGCCTTGACTGTTCTTTTCACAGGGGCTGGGAGGATCCAGTGCTGCTGGGCAGCTCAGGGAAGCAGCAGCTGGAGAAGCAGAGATGACCCAAACCTTTGAAAAATTAGCTGCTGTAGTTCAGGTTCCTACCTGAGCTCTCAAGTGTATTTATTTAAGTACAAATTTATAAATGTATATTTCTGTACAAGCCTCTTAGTGGCTTCCTGGTTTTATGTTTTTAGTGGGGTTTTTTGTTTGTTTTGTGTTTTATAAAAGACATTTAGCTGCCTTAAACCAGGAAATTTAAATTTAGCTGGGATTTACCCTTTAACCAAGTATAGTTCATTCACCCTTTGTATAAAAATAGAGATAGTTTTATGCCCATGAGATACAGGCAGAGCAGCTCCACATGGGCAGCAGCTATTCCTGCCGCTGCGGCCGGATCCGGCACTTCAGGGGCAGGAGAACATCTCATGCTGGGCCTGGGCAAAGCAGGCAAAGGAGTCCTGGAGGGAGCAGCCTCTGCTGTCCCACAGCTCAGGAAGTCTCCTCAGCCCATCATTTATTGCCAAAACCACAGATGCTCGGGGAACGTGTGGCAAACACATTCCCCGGCTTGGGCTCGTTGAATGGGAGGAGGGAGGATGAGGAGGCAGTGGGATCCCTCCCCAGAAAGGGGAATAAACAAAAAGTCTTCAGAGGCCTGGAGATGCCCCTTTTAAGACACCGCACGCACTCAGGGTGAGGGGAGAGACTGATTCAAGCCTAGGTTGTAGAGGGAGAAACAAACTGTCCCCTGTTGTCTAACAGCATGGGAAACAGGGGAAAATGTAACTCTCTGTGGCTTCCCAGGCTCTGCAAAGCTCTTGTCCACCAGGACCTGCCTCCACGCCCCATCTCCTCTAGGCATTGGCATAATCTAAAGCATGTTTGACTGAGCAGTGGAGCAAAATGAAAGCTGCAAACACACGCATGGAGAAACAGGATTAATTCAGGTTCCTTCTCCACTGCTTGTGTCAATTGCTTAAGCAGGGGTGTATTTTTCCCTGATCTGGACAAGCATGGCCATGCTCACCCTCCAACTGCCTCCCTGCCCCACAGCCTGCTGTGCCAGCACCCGCCGAAGCCTGAAGACCAACCTCTGCAAGTGGTGTGACTCCACACCCCCTGCCTGCGAGGAGAAGGTGTGCTACAGCAACTGCAACCTCAACTCCTACTGCGAGGACCCCTTCGAGATCTGCGTGGCCATATGGTAAGTGGCAACCACCTCAGCAAGGGGACATGCAGGGGGCAAAGGGGTTCAGGGAGCAATAGCTCATGGGAACGCACATGTGTAGCCCTACACTTGAATTATTGCCCATTAAAATGATTCAGGACTTTCTCTTCCCCTCCCTTTTGACTCTGTTATAATCAAAATTATGATGGGCAGTAAAAAATTATTTGGTCTGCCTCATAATTAGCACCCTGTGTATTTTCTAAATAAATCAAGCATTTCAGTGCATGACACAGAGTGTGGCAATTTGGCCGCAGGACCTCTCAACGCCCATAAATCCTTGAATTTAGCTTTACAGGCTGCACCCACGGGTGAACATTGGCAGCCCTGACCCCCAAACCCATTATGTCCTGCATCAGGCTGATGAAACCTCAGTTCACATGCAAGGGTGCAGCCAAGGCCTGTCCCCATCTGATGCATGGACATCTGAGATGGTACCAAATTGGGGTTTAGGCCCACCAGGTTTAAGCCACCTCCTTCCCATCCCCTGCAGGGAAAAAAAAACCAACCAAAACCACCACACCCTTTTTTGGTTTGCCTGGAAATGCCTGGAAGGGAAATGCAATCCTGTATTTTAGGCCAACTGTGCACTGCATCATTTGGCCCCAATGAGTGCCTCCCCCAGCTTTTTGGTCCCCGTGAACACAACTAAAAAAACATCCATTCTGGGTCTGCCCAGAGTGACTTTCCTCCTCCTTCCCTTTCAATTTGGCTGCCAAAGTGAAAGCCAGCCAAGCACTTATCACTAGGCTTTATCTCAACCTGCTAATTAGTGTGGATGCCGCACGCCCCGCTTGCAGGAGTTTGCCTCAGCATAATTGTTGCATTATGGACTTTAAAAAAAACAAACCAAGAAAACAACAAAAAAAAAACAACAGCAAGAAACCCAAACAAACCAACAAAATCCACCCCCTGCCCCAAATTCCCCGACACCCACATGGAGAAGCCACCTTAAATCCCCAGTAGGCAATCCAGCATCTGGCTGGGTTTTCCCACTGGCTGCCCACACGTACAGGAAAAAGAAAGAGCTGCTGCAGCATCAACCCCCACACCAGGAGAGAAGCCCCATGGCAGGGGATGGGGCTGCAGCCTCACACCAGGTATTGGATGGGGTGAGGCAGCTGCAGGGTTACAAATAACCTACCACCCCACAGCCTCCTCCCAGCATCTCCCACCCCGAGATTCAGACCCATCCTGACAGGGCTCACCTCCCAGCCAGCCTCACTTGGAGGCATTTTGGATGATCTGTTGGAGCAGGTCCAGAGGAGAGCCAAAAAGATGACCAGAGGGCTGGAGCACTTTTCCTACGAGGACAGGATGAGAGAGTTGGGATTGTTCAGCCTGGAGAAAGAGGAGGATCCAGGAAGACCTTATAGGAGCCTTCCAGTACCTGAAGGGGTTACAGGAAAGCTGAAGAGGAACTTTTTACAAAGGCACAGTGATAGGATGAGTGGGAACAGTTTTGAGCTGAAAGAGGACAGATTTAGATATTAGGAAGAAATTCTTCACTGTGAGGGTGGTGAGACACTGGCTCAGGTTGCTGAAAAAGGCTGTGAATGTCCCCTCCCTGGAAGTGTTCATAGCTATGTTAGATGGGATTTGGAGCAACCTGGTCTAGTGAAAGGTGTCCCTCCCCATGCCAGGGGGCTTGGAATATAGAGGATCTTTAAGGTTCCTTCCAACCTAAACCATTCTATGATTCTATCTGAACTTGTCCCAAGTGGGTATCACAGTCATAGCAGCAGCTTTGGCCCCATGCTCACGAGCAACTATCATGAGAGCCAAACCCATCCCTTTTGGTCTACGTATGACACATTTCCATGGCTTTAACAGGAGCCCAGTCCAGGTGCTGCTGAGCAAAAGAGGTGGCACATGAGAAGGACCTAAGCTGGCTACTAAGCACTGGTGTTTAGAAAAGCTCAAAAGCCATGGGCACTATGGAGGTAGCCCCAGTGCTATGAGCCATGCTTCCATGAGTAACTGGAGTTTCATCAATTAGACTTCTTGGTATTAGACTTTGAATATTTCACTTGCTCTCACTGCATATGCTGAATGCTTGTGCACAGTTAAACACCACAATTCCTCTTAATTCCCTAAATGGAAATGAGGAGGGAGCTAGGGCTGAGGTACCTTTGCATCCCTGGCTGTGCTGAGCCCCAGCACTCCTCTGCCCCAGACCTGGCAAGGACCAGGACATGACCGCAGGTTTCATTTGTAGTTTCTTGGTGTCTGAAGCTGTGGTATAAACACAGACACAGCCCTGTGCTCCAGGAGTTGTATCACCTTCACTTTGTAATTTACAGCTCCAAATGTCAAGCCGTTTCTAGAAATAACCCCCACCAGTGACTGAAGGGCTCTGCTCCCACAGGTCAGCAGAGGCAGGAACAAATGGTCCTGCAAGGACAGGGTGTGACAACCAGCAATTAACCCAGAGTCCAGGAGATGAGACAGTGCTCAGGGGCTGCACCTGCATGCATGGGTTGAGAGCAGCAGGAGGGAAGCACGAGCCAAGTAGTGGCTGGCAAGCAGGCATTTCAACCCCCATAGCATCCTCCTCTCCTCTTCACAGGTAAAATTTAGGCAGCAGAGACCCCAGTCCCTCCTGAGACAGAGGTGTTATGAGTTCTATTGCAGCAGAGCTGACATATGAGGTGAGATCCTCATTTTGCAGGGTTTCCTTAGGACCATATAGCCCCAAAACCTGCTGGCCTAGCAACTGCTATTGGTAAAGAAGAGATTTTCCCCTCCTCCCCCCGCCTCCCAAATTCCCTGCAGGGCACTCAGGGTTGGCACTACCTGATCCAAGGTATGATTATGACCTGGTGAATTATTTACTGGAAACAAGTGGAGTCTCTGGCTCACATCCTACTATTGGCACGTGCTAAACGTTTGCCTTTTCACCATTTGGAAGAGATAAAGGGCTTTAACAAAACCTGTCCAAAGCACGTGTAACTAGAACGATGCCAGAGCCACTGCAAACAAATCATTACCTACAGGGCTGCCAACTAACAACCTTGAGACCAGGTTTAGGAATGACACGTGGGCACCCTGAGGGCTGAGCCTCTGAACTGGTGGTTCATTTGGCACACACAGGAGACAGGACAACGAGAGCATCAGGATCAGCACGCTCTGCCACAACCCCCAGCGCCCCATCGAGAACCTGATGGTGCCCAACTACAACACCTCGCGCTGCGTCATGACCCACCAGCCCAGCCAGGACGGGGTCACCTACATCTGCGGCTGCGTGGACGAGCAGGAGTGCAACGACAAGCTCATCTTTGAAAACCACACCAATGGTGAGTGCTTTGGGTAATACTGTTTACGGGAGGAGAAGCAGTCAAGGCCAACCACAAATCGCTCGTGCTTCCAACAGAGCTGGAGAGATGATGCCAGAAGGAGCTCCTTCAGCAGCATCTTTGATGCTGCTATACAAAAGCTAGGCAAAGTTTGTAGCCCTCTCCTGAGCTCAGTGTTCTGTCCATGGCTAAACTATCCCTCCTAGTGACTCCTCCAGCCTTGGTCTGGAAACATCAGGAGGTGGAAAATCCACTGTATCTCTCACTGCCATTCAGCACAGGGCAAGTCCACCAGGGAACCCAGAAGCTGGTGTAACCTAGCATGAGTCAATGCTCTGAAAGCTTTAAATAAATGGTGCTGGAGCAAATCCTGCCCCTGCACACCCACGGGAACCACCAGTGTCCACCATGGCTGCAACCCAAAAAGGTGCAGTACACAGAGGTGAGCATGGGTTGGCACATCTGTAGATGCTTCTGCAGGTGGCTGAAGAACCAAAAGGAGCTATAAATGCACAGGACAGAAAACCAAGAGGCAAGCTCATTTTCGTACCTCAGGAGGATTGTACACTTTGGAAATGCTTCCAGCTAAACCCCGAGCCTTGAAGGTGCTTGTCCAAACCTCCCTAACTCCAAATGGGCCAGGCTTATCCAAGTCCCCATAAAAAATCTGACCCATAACAAAAGCAAAGCAAAACCCCTCTGATTTTCCATCATTACAGAGCAATGAGATGCTGAAAATTAGAGTAATCATAACCTGCAAGTGGGCAGGGTGACTTCTCCAGCAACATAAAGGGAAAAAAAAAATAAAAATCACATAAAATGCAAATTCTCAGAACAAACAAACCAGTTTTAACGAAGGCAAATTATGCTAAATTTGGCAGTTCTTTGCTGCTCATGGAGCCAAACATAACAGGTACACACGGTTCTGGGGAAAGTCAAATCCCCAAGCTGATGCTGGGATATGTAATTTCACACAAAACCAACTACAACTGGTTCACTGGAAATGCTGCCCCAACAAAAGCTGCCCTGAGCAGCCTCCTCCTGCCAGCCAGCACATAAAGTGCTGGAACTCAGAGCAAGAACAGTGTGGGTCTTAAACAACTGTCTCCTCTGTGATTTGGTTTGTGGGACCAGCTTGAGAAGGCCCAGACTCAGAGACCCCATTGTTTACATCCTCTTCTTCTGCTTTAAAGTATAGTTTGCATTTCAAATGTTAACAAAATCACCTTCAATGGTATAGCCAATGTTGAGAAGATAAATACCTGATAGAGAGGAGCATTTCTCCAGCAGCTGAAGCAGGCAGATTTTCCTTCCCATTCCTTGAAGAGCTTTAAGTACTGCTTCCCAGTCTGGTAGCACTGCCCAAGCACCAGGGCTGCAGGGGACCCCATCAGAGTTCAGCTATGACCCTAATGAATACACAGACATGGTTTCCTGAAGCTGTGCAAGCAGGAGCCCAGCAGGCACCTTGTGAAGGCACTGGGTAGGGCTGAGCACACAGAGTCCTTTCTACCCCTGTGCCAGCCAAGCCTGGTCCTGCAGGTCCACCTACCTCAGCAAGGATGGGAAGACTCATGCGGTGATGCTTCACAAGACATGGGTTTACAGACCCACAGTTGTCACCACAGCAGCTACATTTGCTCTGCATGGAAGGGGTCTAAGCCATGCTGAACTGCTCTGTATCCAAGGTCTTGCCTCAGAAAGGGTCATCCTCTCAAAAGAATTTGCTAAAGTCGTGTTAACATCCCATTTTCAGGACTTGTGCATGAAACTCCCTTAAAACGATCTTCTCTTTCTCCAGAGTTTAAAAGATGGGACTTCAAGCATCGGGTAAATCCATTAAAGCAGTAGGTGATATCCAGGCCTAGCACTTTCCAAAAACAACATATTCCTGAGTTAGTTATTGATTTATATCAGTTTAGATTGATCTTGTGGTTTGAACCTGATGCCTATTTTAGAAACGCTTTCACAGCCTTGCAGAAATTAGCTGCAGTACATTTTTTTGAAATTTGCCAAGGAAAATAGCTAAATGCTCTGTTTTTCCAGAACCTGAATTATGATCCGCACACACTGAGGTCAAGCAGCAAGAGTTTTGCTTATGGAATGATTCTTATCCCTCTTCCCCTGGGTTATTATGCTTGGCAGAAAAACCTCTGAGTAAGATTTTACTTGAATGTCTCTACTGAAGTCAGCATGTTTATTCCAGGAATTGTGAACATCAAAGGAGCAGACAATTACACGTTGTGCGAGGGATAGGGCTTTTGGTGTGCTCCCCCCGACGATCTGAGGGCTGACAGGGGCTTGAAAGAAGGAAAACAAAAGCAGCCATGCTTGCTTGGTTCACGGGGCGGATGTTGTGACACCAACCCTGAAACGATGCTTCTTTATGCTAATTATTGCGCAAAGCATCCCGGGCTTCCCTCGGGATGCAGGTCCCGCCCCCTGCCCGCCCCCAGCCAGCATCCCTCCAGGCTCTCTGTGTGCCAGAGGGGCCTGGCAAAGCCCCAGCCCCAAAACCCCTCAGAGATTTGCTCTGTTTGGGTCATGCCTCAGCTTTATTGCTGTTCTTCCCACCCCGGCTCCCCTTGCAGGGACAGACGAGCTGTTTGGGTGGCAGGTGCCAGGTCTCACAGGCTGTACCACCCAACCTAATCAACACGGCCCGGCGGCCTGAGCCCTCGCTTGATAAATGGAGCTTAATTTGAGCAGCCCCTGAAGAACTGCCCACTTGGGGGCTCTTTGCCTGGACAGGTCTGTGCACAGGGCACCTCACGGCCCCGCTCCAGTCGCAGCTTCACACATCTCCCTCCTCCCCGTGACAAGAAGGAGCTGTTGCAGCCCGGCTCTTTGCTCTTCCTCCCCACAGGCTACTCCATGCTGCAGAGCAGAGAGGTGATCCCGGTGGCCGCCATCAGCCTCCTGCCACCGCTGCTGGTGGCGGTGATGGTGACGGTGACCTTCTACCTGTGCCGCACGCAGAAGCGGCGCAAGAGAACCGAGGCGTGGGGCGGGAAAGCGGGGCGGCCGGCGGGGCTGCCGGAGCCGGGGAGATCTGCCGAGAGGGAGGAGAAGCTGTCGGTGCTGATGGACGAGAGCCCCGCCGGCTCCAGCCCCGCCGGCCGCCCGGCCGAGCTGCTGCCCATCGAGCTGGACGAGATGGTGGGCAAAGGGCAGTTCGCGGAGGTGTGGAGGG